AACCGCTCTCACAGCTCTCGGGTGTCTCCTCCTTCACCCCCCGCACCCCACCCTCCCCTGGCCCCAGCTCCTGCGCCTGGCCCCAGCCACCCCTGCACGGCTGAACAAGATCCTCCTCCAGGCCCCGCCTCGAGGGGGCCCTGGAGCCCGGGCTGGGGGGGCCGGGGGGACTGCACGGCCAACTCCACCTGGGAGGAGGACGGAAGCCGCAGACCCCGTCCACGTCTGAAGAGGGCCCAGCACTGGACGTCTAGAAGGGGCGACGGGCCTGGAGCGTTGCTGAAGAGCCGGAGGCCTGTCCCTCCGCTCTCCCCTCCTGCCTCGCCCCTGCTCTGCGCTCGGGTTCATCTGGGGCGTGCGCTTCCTTCTAGCTGCTGCAGGCTCCGCGGGGTGTGGCCTGCTCGCCGAGCGGCTGAGCCGACCCAGCTTGAGCTTTTATTCTCCAACTCCCTGCTCTTTGCCCTGCGCTGGGGAAGAGCGTCCTGGGTCCTAAACCAGTGGGGACGGTCCCCGACTCTGCCCCGGGTCCCAGGGTGGAGTGCTGTTCCACGGTACCGAGCAAGCCTGGGCCAGTGACCCGTGGGCCGAGATGCCAGTCACTAGCGAGATTTCCCTGCACCGATCTGGCCGGAAGCCAGGCCTTCCCTCGGGACGCAGTCCTCACAGAGGGTATCAGTGGAGGCTGAGCTATGGGGGTGGCATCCTGGAAGCCACCCCCAGCTGGCTGGCCACTCTGGCCTCTGCTGGGCCCGAGGACATTCACTGGAGGCTCATCTCCACTTGCAGAAGATCTGACTGCACTTAGACGCCAAGTCTAACCTGGGCTGTACGGCCTCAGTGTTCCCATCAGACAAGGGGGAATACGAGACACTGAACAACCATTCATCTTCCTCCTCTTGCCTCCATCTCCCCCAAAGGTCCTGAGCTCAAGTGCTGACAAGTCCACTCTGCCTCAGAAGTGGGGACGGGGCAGCTGGGGACGGGGCAGGCTGGGGACGGGGCAGCTGGGGACGGGGCAGCTGGGGACGGGGCAGCTGGGGACTGGGCAGCTGGGGACGGGGCAGCTGGGGACGGGGCAGCTGGGGACGGGGCTGGGGACGGGGCAGCTGGGAACGGGGCAGGCTGGGGACGGGGCTGGGGACGGGGCAGCTGGGGACGGGGCAGCTGGGGACGGGGCAGCTGGGGACGGAGCAGCTGGGGACGGGGCAGCTGGGGACGGGGCAGCTGGGGACGGGGCAGCTGGGGACGGGGCAGCTGGGGACGGGGCAGGGGATGGGGCAGGCTGGGGACGGGGCAGGCTGGGGACGGGGCAGGCTGGGGACGGGGCAGCTGGGGACGGGGCAGCTGGGGACTGGGCAGCTGGGGACGGGGCAGGCTGGGGCTGGGGACGGGGCAGGCTGGGGACGGGGCAGCTGGGGACGGGGCAGCTGGGGACGGGGCAGGGGACGGGGCAGCTGGGGACGGGGCAGGGGACGGGGCAGGCTGGGGACGGGGCAGCTGGGGACGGGGCAGGCTGGGGCAGGCTGGGGACGGGGCAGCTGGGGACGGGGCTGGGGACGGGGCAGCTGGGGACGGGGCTGGGGACGGGGCTGGGGACGGGGCAGGCAGGGGCTGGGGCAGGCTGGGGACGGGGCAGGGGACGTGGCAGCTGGGGACGGGGCAGCTGGGGACGGGGCAGCTGGGGACGGGGCAGCTGGGGACGGGGCAGGGGACGGGGCAGCTGGGGACGGGGCTGGGGACGGGGCAGGCAGGGGCTGGGGCAGGCTGGGGACGGGGCAGCTGGGGACGGGGCAGCTGGGGACGGGGCAGCTGGGGACGGGGCAGGGGACGGGGCAGCTGGGGACGGGGCTGGGGACGGGGCAGGCAGGGGCTGGGGCAGGCTGGGGACGGGGCAGGGGACGGGGCAGCTGGGGACGGGGCTGGGGACGGGGCAGGCAGGGGCTGGGGCAGGCTGGGGATGGGGCAGGGGACGGGGCAGCTGGGGACGGGGCAGCTGGGGATGGGGCTGGGGCCGGGGCAGGCTGGGGACGGGGCAGGGGACGGGGCAGCTGGGGATGGGGCTGGGGCTGGGGCAGGCTGGGGACGGGGCAGGCAGGGGACGGGGCAGGCTGGGGCCGGGGTGTCCCTGCTGCCTGGGGACTGAGGCCCTGCTCCGTGTGTGAAATGCAGCGGTGGTTGCAGCAGGTGCGGGTTTGTGCCCGCACTCCCGACTCTGCCACACAGGCTTTGTGAAGCCCTGGTGGGCCACGCCCTGGCCTCCTCCCCACGAGGCCGATTCCCATGGCAGCCACCCTGGGGCGCGGGCGTGGGTCTGAATTGGGCTGAGGATGGCACCGGAGCTGTGGGCCTCCACGGACCAGACAGGTGGGGTGGTGACTGGATGCCAGGACAGAGGCAAGGGGGGCAGGGGTGAGGGGGGCCGGGGTGAGGGGTCAGGACAGGGGTGAGGGGGGCCGGGGTGAGGGGTTAGGACAGGGGTGAGGGGGGCAGGACAGGGGTGAGGGGGGCCGGGGTGAGGGGTCAGGACAGGGGTGAGGGGGGCAGGGGTGAGGGGGGCCGGGGTGAGGGGTCAGGACAGGGGTGAGGGGGACAGGGGTGAGGGGGGCCGGGGTGAGGGGTCAGGACAGGGGTGAGGGGGACAGGGGTGAGGGGTCAGGACAGGGGTGAGGGGGGCCGGGGTGAGGGGTCAGGACAGGGGTGAGGGGGGCAGGGGTGAGGGGGGCCGGGGTGAGGGGTCAGGACAGGGGTGAGGGGGACAGGGGTGGGGGGGCCGGGGTGAGGGGTCAGGACAGGGGTGAGGGGGGCTGGGGTGAGGGGTCAGGACAGGGGTGAGGGGGGCAGGGGTGAGGGGGGCCGGGGTGAGGGGTCAGGACAGGGGTGAGGGGGACAGGGGTGGGGGGGCCGGGGTGAGGGGTCAGGACAGGGGTGAGGGGGCCGGGGTGAGGGGACAGGGGTGAAGGGTCAGGACAGGGGTGAGGGGTCAGGACAGGGGTGAGGGGGGCCAGGGTGAGGGGTCAGGACAGGGGTGAGGGGGGCCGGGGTGAGGGGACAGGGGTGAGGGGTCAGGACAGAGGCAAGGGGGGCAGGGGTGAGGGGGGCAGGGGTGAGGGGGGCAGGGGTGAGGGGGACAGTACAGGGGTGAGGGGTCAGGACAGGGGTGAGGGGGGCTGGGGTGCTCCAGTCTGAGGCTGCCGGGGAGGCCTCCGGTCAGGTTGTTACTGGCTCTGAGTGGCGTTAGGGTCTCCGGGGCCTTACTCTCCTCTCCTTTAAGAGGGGGAATGGTAGTGTGGTAAAACCCAGGCAGGGAGAGAACTCGGCAAATTCTAGGCACCGTCCCCTCCTCCCCTCCTCCCCTCCTCCCCTCCTCCCCCCCTCCCCTCTGGGGTGCACAGGGGCCCGCATGGAGCTCTTTCTTACCGGGAGCAGCGGGAGCCGGTCAGCACAGGAGCTGGGGGCCTCCTTCCAGGCAGCCCATTCCCTTCCTGGGTTCTCTTGGAGGGTGCCACAGCCGCTCTGAGGGCGGGAAGCGGGTGCGGCTGACCCAGGGGCAGGGGCGGGTGGAGCCCCGCAGCTCCTCCCTGGGAGGGGGCCGGCAAGCCCAGGTGCCCTGGGAGTCCCAACTGGGGGGAAGTCCCACCCCCATGGAGGGGGCCAGTGAGGAAGCCCCACCCCCATGGGGGGCAGTGAGGGGGAAGTCCCACCCCCATGGGGGGCAGTGAGGGGGAAGTCCCACCCCCATGGGGGTCCAGCGAGGGGAGCCCCGCCCTCCATGCCAGGTTGCACCCTTGGAGGATCTGCCCGGGCTGGCACCAGGATGGAGTTAGTGGACGGCTTGGGGAAAGCCACCCCATCGCCCTGGTCTTTGGCCTCCCAGCCAGAAACCAAGAGCGTGCTCACTTCTCAAACATGGATCCTGGTGGTGCGTCCTCAGGACCAGCAGAAAGATGGCAAGAGACCAGCTTTCCAGACTGGCAATCTCAGAGTGAGACGCGGAGTCAGGAAGGGAGGGGCAGAGCGGCTCTGTGGGGCGACCCCGGGAGGGTCGCCCGCACCCAGCACACTGCTCCTTCCTGCGCCCCGTGCCCCCCGCGGCCCCCCGCGGCCCCCGGAGAATCCCCACCAACCCCCAGCCCACCCCCACTGCGGCCAGCGGGGCCTCTGGCAGAGGAGCTGCGGTTATTTCCCCGTGTCCCCTTACGACCAGTGGCCCCGAAATTCACTCTTGGCTCCAGTCTGAGGGGCAGAATTCCCTGGAGCTATGGCCTGCACCCTGAGAGCCAGGGAGGCCCACAGGCTGAGGGCCGGGGGAGGGGGCAGGCTGTGGCCCAAGGCCCAGAGGCCCCTGCCCTGAACATGGCCCCCAGGAGAACTGGGGAGTGGGAGGCAGGCGACAGGCAGGAGGAGCCCACGTCTGGCTCTCCGTCAGAGCCCCGCAGCCTCAGCATTGTGCTGGCTGTCCCGGAGTGGACGCTGGCGGAGAACATTTCCTCCGTGTGTGAGCCGCGAGACCCGGCCTTCACCTGGGGACTCTCGGTGAAGTCCCGGTGCTGAGAGTTCTCCCACAAGACAAAGGCTCAGGGTAACAAAGGCAGCTCAGAGCTGGGGCGGGCGGCCAGGGTTCGCTGGGCAGAGACAAGGGGCGTGGCCGCTCACGGCACTGCCGGGTGCTGGATGCTTCTGGGTCTTTCTTGGCCCTTCCACAGTGTCACTGCAGAAGGCAGATGGGTCGGGACACGGCCCGGGGCGTCGGCATGGCGTTCCCGGCCTGTGTGGGTGCTCCATGGCTGATTCTTCTTCACGAGTCACATCTTCACCTGCTCGCACTTAGGAATCCAACCTTGTATTTTCCCCTTTACTGCTACAGGGCATTTCTCTGTGGGTATTTAGAGATGTGCATTTCTACGAGTGCGTCTCTGTCATTCCTATCTGTCTATCGTCTGTCTGTCTGTCTACACATCCACTTACCCACCTCATATCTGATCTAGCAGTCGCTATCAGGG